AACTTTGAGCGATGATATCTCGACAACAACCTATCTAAAATTAATGATTTTTTTTATTGATTTTAGATAGGTAGTTGTCAAGATATTTTCGCTCAAAGTTATAATTTCGTCCAATCAGAATGTTGATGTTTGAGTAGAATCTCATCTGTCCGACACTTTTTTTCGCCTTGGCTAGGGTTACATTCCACGAGCATGAGCATTTGTTTTGTAGAACTTTTTTATTCTATACTTTTTTTTTTAAATTTTAAATCAAAATATAAAACTAAGTTACACAATCGGATCATAATTATGTCATAATGTATTAAACCATTTTTAACAGATTAAAATTAAACAAATATGACTTTTAAGATCGTGTTTTAAAACATTTGCCATCCCTAACTGTAGTTTAAGCCTATTCTCAATGATGGGTGGAATCTTCCTTTATTACGCATCCTTCTAATTAGTCATTTTATTGCGTCTTGCGCATTATAAGATTTTAATTCTACACGTGTTATTGGACTATTCTAGTTAAGTACAAAGCAAAATAACTCTAGCAGGTGTTATTTTGAATAATTGTGTCTTTATTAACAACGTACATGGTTTCGAATGTGTTTATGGCGTCCCAAATTAATACACATCCCGATCTAATATAATTTATTGACATGATAATGATATATTAAATTTAGAAATCGAATCTTATTTCAAAATAAAATACATGAGTTTAATTGAAAGTTGGCGTTATTTCGCGCTTATTTCCGTAAGTAATAATAACGAATGATTAATACAATATTTTAAGTAAAGAAAATTTTGTATCCATACAAAAGTTTTCATGAACAATTTCATTATTGTTATTTGAACGAAAAATAGATATCGCGTCTCGTCAATTTCTAAATTATGAGAAGAAAAAAAAACAATAGATATATCGATATGTAACAGAGATCAGACTTTCAAGAGATGAATCAGTTAAACCACAAAATAAAGCTTTCCTTGGATCACATATAAATAGAAACTTATTTTATCCCCTGCAGTACTGCAGTAAATGTAAAATAAAATTCGGCCGATATCTATAATTAAAAAAACCAATAGTGATAATAGTAGTGATTAAAGACCCTAAACCTTAAACGTTAATTAATTTTGTTATATTCCTATTGTATGATGGTTATGTAAGAAAAAACGAATGAATATTACAAAATAATATAAATCATATCAAGGATCCTAAACCTTAAACGTTAATTAATTTTGTTATATGCCTATTGTACGATGATTATGCAAAAAAAAAGAAAAAATGAATGAATATTACAAAATAATATAAATCATATTATCGGATATTTCGCGAGTTACTGTATGATCCTTTTTAGTAAAATTTACAATAAGGCTCAGAATTAAAATTCAGAAATCTAATTTTGACTAAATTAGATGACGTATTTGTTTTCAAATAAGGTTGCATCACTTTTATTATCGGTATTATTTCGTTATATTTGAATTGTATGTGGCCTCATCGGGTTGGCACAGGTGTGACGAATAATCATTTACTAATTAATTGTATTAGCTAATATTATTGGTCACATATAATGATTTATCACGCCCCTGTGCCAAATTGTAAGGGGGTACATAAACTTAATCCGATGAAATTTTATTTATTTCGTCAAATGGGAGACTTTAAACAATTCATTTCGTTTTCTGATTTCAAAATTTTGATACACGAATAAGGTTTTTTTAAAATTCTCATTTATTTCCAAAATACGCTATTTTTTTTAATTCTGAAGCCCATAAACGAGCGTTTATTAAACCTTGTTAAGCCTAGTTTAATTGGGTGATAGAAATAGCTACAGTATTTAGTAATTATCGAAATTATCGAGTACTGTATGTTGTGCATTATTGAGCATTATTGTTACAAAAAAAATAAATTATTTTAATAAAAAATTATTAATTTATAAACAGATAAAAACTAATAAATATATATTATGCTGAAACTGTAATAATTATCACATCCTTTATTATATATTATTTATTACATACGTACTTCGAATTTTCCGATCGGTCTAATTCGGAAAATTATCATTAACGTACGACGTACGTACGTAAAAGGATTAGCCCAGATCGGAAAATGATTTTCCTAACAAAAACCCATGTGACAATTATATTGTTTACGGGTTAAGATGCAGCAATGATATCATCTGCAAAATATTAAATCTAAATGCCACAAGTACAACTAGTACAGTAGTAGGCAGTATGACAAACCCCCAGTTAACAGATTAACCGAGATTCATTTAGATGTGGAACTTATCAAAGTCATAGCTCGTTCATTCATTCCATTAATAGTAAAAAATACAGTATTTTACTGATAATTTTAATACTAGACCGATTATTTAACAAGTTTTGGTACAACCTTTTACCCGAAATTGTGTATAATATTTTGAGTCCATATCTCAATATCTATTTTTCAGTATCTATTTTTCAGTATCGATTTTCAGTATCTATTTTCAGTATCTATTTTTCAGTATCTATTTTCAGTATCTATTTTTCAGTATCTATTTTCAGTATCTATCTCAGTATCTATTTGAACCAACCATTTTACATATATCAATTAGTATTACTTAACAAAAAACTTGATTAATAGTAATACATTTGTGGTTTGAATGCTAAAGTCTAATTCTATTGTTATCAATCTCTTACTTTTTTAAGATGTATTATTTATACGACACTTTTGCTAAAAAGAAATATGATCAGCCTTTTTTTTTTTCCTCGAACCATAATTAACACATCTTATGCACTATTGAATATATTTAGAAAGACTTATTATAGATTAGCAAAATAGTTAAATTAATTTTTTAAAGCTTTAAAATTAGATTATTCAGTTCTTAAAGTTTATTATCAAAAACACTATTTATACATTCAATCTATTATTTTTAACAACAATCTATATACTATGCGACTAGCATGATATGGGTCATCATTCTATAATGGATCCAATATCTGTATGTAATACATACCTATCATATATGCTTCTTCTTCATTTTAACCCTTTAATACAATTTACCAAAAACAAAAAAAGGATTGACAGTTTCAAATTTTAAAAAATTTAATTTATCAGATAACGAAAGTATTATAGTATTATAAGAAGACAAGTTAAATTTTCTTTGTACGTATATAACCTAAAATACATACAGTAAATACAGTAAATACGGTAAATACAGTAAGCGTTTATCATTATGATTATCGAAAAATTATAACCAAAAAAATTATTTTATGCATAATTACATGTCAAAAAATCATAATTAGCTGCATCAAATATAAATTAGGACACGAAGATACATATTACGCCATTATGCGTAAATTACTAGTGTAGATTGCATGTTTGCATAAAATCGATATAGAATTAGCAAATCATTTCGGTATAATAGTAAATGATGTTACTATTTTTAGTATTTTTAGTAACATTTTTCCATATACCATTGTAAAATTAAAAATAGTAGGTAGGTTTCAATAATAAATTTATTATCTTTAGCGTTAGTTCAAACCTAACCTTATTAATAAAAATGATCGAAAAAAATTATAATTAATTGTGGCTATTAATGCTGAAACTGATTGAAATTGATCGAGGTTAATAAATTTTTTAGAGCCTATTTATTAATATATAAATTATACTCTATTTTTTATAATTTTAATTAACAAATTCTAACTAACAAAACACTAATAAAAAAAAAAAAAAATGCACTTCAAATTTTTTTGCATTTTTGCGCATTAATTATACTTTGCACATACATTCGCCATGCATCGGAGCAATATTATTCATATTATCCATATATGCCAAATACCGTTATATAAAAAAATTCTGAACTAATAATTTTTTTTAGCCATTCTATCAAAAATGGTTCATTTAAAATTTCCATTTTAGGATATTAGTCTAATATAGGAAAGTAGTTATCTGCATTATTATCGTAGTATAATACCGTATTCCTCCGAAAATAAGCACCCCTTTTTTGCTATAAGGTTGCTTATTTTCGGGTATAATCTCAACTAATAATTTAAATGATTTGATATTTAGTTACTTATTTCCATTATATAAGAGGTGCTTATTTTCGGGTATATATGAATTGTAGGGGGTGCTTACTTTCGGGGGTGCTTATTTTCGGAGGAATACGGTACATTTAATACTGTAATAAAAATAAAAATACAAAGTTATCGTTATAAACTTCATAATATTCTAATAAAAATAGAATACATTAGTATGAAAAAAGTTATCAATTGTATAATAAATAAAGTAAAATATACGTTATGCATGCCGCTGCGTAAACTATCACTATTCCAGATTACATCATTACCTGTAGGAGATTTTAAGGGGAAATAAGGGATTAAGCATTATCGTTATGTGACATTTATGTGAAGTTAAACATTAATTTCAGAATTTACACAAAACCTGGCTTAGCTTTCATTATTTTTAATTTGTGTTTACTACGTGTGGCTTATCTTCTTTTTTATCTCTTTCCTAATTCATACTAACGGTTAAATAACCTTGGATGAATTTTTAGATATGTTAACATAAAAAAAAAATAAAAAAAGATCCATCTAACAAAGGTAACTTTATTTTATTATAGTCATAATCTTATGAATATCTCAGTTACTTTATTTGTTGTACTATAAATAAATTTTTTTCTCATATCTCATATTTCTCATATTTCTCATATTTCTCGTGTACTTTATAATTTATACCTTTTAAAAAAGTTGTATATATAAACCCTTCAATTATCCGTCACTGAACGAAAAAGAAAAAAAAATCTTTCTTAAAAGTTTCTTTTTTATTGATTTTTTTTAACTTATGTCAAATTTTTTAATCTTTAAAAAATTCTTAAAGAGCTTTAATAAAACTTTATTATAAATACTTTACAAGGACTTTATAAAACATTACTTAGTTGTAATAAATAATTTTTAGTTTCATCAATTTTTTCATTTCAAACAAAAAAAAAAAGGACAATTTAAAGGACAATTTAAAGGACAATTTACTTTTACTTTTAAAAACAATGAGTCAACAAACTTACATTCGTCGTTCTATTTCAAAATTTCAAGAAAGTTTATGGGTCGATTTTCGCGCTCATCCAAAATCTCATAATCATAATGTCGTTTCTTTTCTTAATATTAAAAACACCAATTCTATTCGCGAAATTACTGCTGCTGCTAATATTTTAACTGCTAGACATGGTCTTTTAAGAAGTACTTTTCATGATACTGAAGAAAATGGAAAATCTACTAACCCTTATAGAAAGGAATATCCCGCTAATCACGAAAGAGTTGCTGTTCAAGTTATGGAAATTTCTGCTGATGAAAGAGAAAAAATTATTAAAAAACCTTTTAAACTTGAAAAAAATTATCCTATTCGTTTCTATCTTTTTATGGATCCTGAAGGAAGATCGGAAAATAAAATTTGTATCGTTTCTCATTATATCGCCGTTGATGGTGCTGGAAACTTTAATTTAATTCACGAATTTCAAACTTTAATGGCTGGAAAAAATTTACCCGCTTCAAAACTTACTTTCGATGACTATGTTATGAAACATGATGATTGGCTTAATTCTGATGATGAACAATCCGAGATTTCCCAATTTTGGTTCGATCAAATTCGTTCTACTAAATCTATTAAATGGCCAACAAAACGTGCTGCTGCTTATTGCTCTTTAGCTCCTCAACCTGATGCTTGTTCTTATGAAGTTTTTCATAAAAAAGTTAAAGATTTAAAAACTTTAGGTAAAGTTTTTGGTGTTACCTGGTTCAAAGCTATGTTTTCCGCTGTTTGGATCACCATGGCTTCTTTCATTGAAATGAAGAATGTTAACTTGTGGATTCCTTTCACTGGAAGATGTTTGCAAATTGGAAATGATAAAAACGCTTTTTCAAAACTTATCGGACATTGTGTAAATAATATGCCCGTTCATCTTAATGTCGATACTACAAATCAAATTAGTTTAAATGCTTTCATTCAACAAGTTTCCACTTTGTTGACTGATGCAAAGAAAAATGAAATGTATCCTCTTATTAGTTTGGCAAAATACGCTCAACAAACTTTAAAACGTCAACTTAATCAACAAATTTTAGTCGCTTCAACTCCAAAAATGCCTAATGGCTCTCGTATGCGCATCTTTAAATCGGAAATCGAACTCATTTTCGATTTCGTTCAACAAACTGATGAATCAATTAAATTAGTAATTGATTATAATCCTTCAATTTTTGATATCGCTGATATTAAACAAATCTCTTCCCAATTCTTGGAAGTTATGAGTATGATGAAAGGTTTCAGCGATTTATCTTTCAAAGTTCCAAAAATTTTATTGAACAATGGTTCGGCTCCTGATATTTCCACTCCTAAATTTTCAACTATTCACGAATTAATTCAACAACAAGCAAAAGAAATTCCTCATCAATTGGCTTTAAATATGACTGAACTTAATTTATCAATGACTTATCGTGAATTGGACACTAAAAGCAATCAAATTGCTAGATACCTTTCTCAAATTGGTGTCACTTCGGAAACTTTTGTTATTATTCATATGAATCAAGATATGTATATAGTTCCCTGGTTAATTGGTATTCTTAAAGCCGGTGGTGCTTACGTTCCCGTGGATAAAGAATATCCTGCTGCAAGAAAAGAATTTATTCTTAAAGATTCTGATGCCATGTTCTTAATTACTGATGATGATGATGATGTTTGGTATACCAATTATCCCGGTCAAGTAATTCATACCAGTAAAGTAAATATCTCAAATTTATCTATGTCTGCTTTGAAACCTCAAAGTGATGCTGGAAATCTTTGTTATATGATTTATACTTCGGGAACAACTGGAAAACCAAAAGGTGTTTTGATTGAACATCAAAGTGTTACAACCCTTTTAACTGATCCTAGATATGATCATTTTAATCGTCAAGGTGGTGGTGTTCGAATTTTACAAGCTTTCTCTTTTGCTTTTGATGCTTCATTAATGAGTTGGGCTATTGGTCTCGTTCGTGGTGCTACCATTTGTTTCGCTAAAAATCCTAAATTATTAATTGGAAATTATTTAACTGATATGATTAAACTTAATGAAATTGAAGCCATAGCCGTTGTTCCAAGTGCTTTATCTACCATATCACCTGATGATTGTGGTCCAACTTTGAAATGGGTTGAAGTTGGTGGTGAAGTCGTTTCTTCAAATTTAATTAAAACTTGGAAATCAAAAGTTGAAGTATTCTTTAATTGTTATGGTCCTACTGAAGCAAGTATTGTCGCTACTAATTATGATATAGTGGCTGAAAATAATCCCGTCGCTCTCGGTTCTTTAATTGGAACTCCACGTCAACAAGCCGAAATTTATATTTGTGATCCGGAAACCCAAGAATTGGTCGATGGGGAAGGTGAAATATGTATTGGTGGTGTCTGTTTGGCTCGTGGATATCTAAATCGTGATGATCTTACAAAGGAAAGGTTCATCTATCATCCTCAATTAGAAAAACGTGTTTATCGAACTGGTGATCGAGGTCGTATACTTGAAGATGGTAGAGTTATATTCTTAGGAAGAATTGATAGACAAACAAAACTTCGTGGATTCCGTATTGAACTTCCTGAAGTTGAAACTGTGATGAGTAGTACTTGTCCAGAAATTTCTTTAGTTTCCGTTCAAGTTCATGAAGCACGACAAACTTTGGTAGCTTTTATTACACCAAAGAATTTAGATCGTGATGCTGTTACCGCTAAATTATATAAAGTAATGCCAAAACATCAAGTTCCAATAATCGTTCCTGTTGATGAGTTGCCTCGTACTCATAATGGAAAGATTGATCATGCTGAAGTTAAAAAATTGATGCCTACATTACTTGAAAAATCAACTGCTGAAAAATCTTCAAATTTAAAACCTCAACCACCTCAACCACAAAAGAAAGCCGCCGCCTCAGGTGTTTTAAAGAATTGGTCTACTATAGTAGCTCATTTACAAGTTTTATGGCAAGAACTTATTGGATTAAAAGCTAAACCCGATATTGATACCACTTTCTTCGATTTGGGTGGTCATTCTTTATTATTGGTACAATTACACAAAAAAATTCAACAAATTCCATCGGCTCCAAAAATTGATCTTATGGATCTTATACAAAATCCAACGATTAGAGCTATGGCAAATCTTCTTACTCCTGTTGAAACTTCAAGTTCTGAAATTGTTCAAGAGAATATTACTGAAACAATTATTAATCAACAAAATACTGATGATGACGAAATAGCAGTCATTGCTATGACTGGTTACTTCCCTGGTGCTAGATCAGTTGATGAACTTTGGGATTTGATCTTAACAGGAAAACACGGAATTCATACATTTACTGATGAAGAACTTGATGATTTACATGTACCCATGAATATGCGAAATGATCCTAGTTATGTAAGAAGATTAGGTGTTCTCACTGATATTGATAAATTTGATGCTCCATACTTTAACATTACTACTAAAGAAGCCATGTCCATGTGCCCTCAACAACGTTTATTATTGGAATTGGCTGTACAAGCTTTAGATGAAGCCGGAATCGATCCTGAAAAAGAAAAAGGTCGAATTGGTGTATTCGCCGGTGTTGTGGACAGTACATATAATAACACATCTATGGATCATGCTAAACTTGACCCAGCTATTCGTCATAGAAATATTCTTGGTGTTTCTATCGGAAGTGTAGCAACAAGAGTTTCATATCATTTGAATCTTACAGGTCCATCTTATTCAGTTAATTCTACATGTTCCAGCTCTTCAACAGCATTAAAAACTGCATTAAACAGTCTTAAATGTGGTGATTGTGATGTTGCAATTGTTGCTGGTGCTTGTATTCTCTTACCTCAAACTGGATATTTATATCAACCTGGTTTCATTTATTCTAACGATGGTATGTGCCGTCCGTTCGATCATCTTTCTGATGGTACCGTTACTGGTAATTCGGTTACAGCTCTCGTTTTGAAAAAAATGTCAAGTGCTAAAAGAGATAGAAATCCTATCTCCGCAATTCTTAAATCTGTCGCATTTAATAATGATGGAGCTAACAAACTCAGTTTTATGTCGCCTAGTGTTGATGGACAATGTGATGCAATTAAAAAGGCTATTCAAGCTGCAAAAATTACTCCTTCTGATATTTGTGTTATTGAAGCTCATGGAACAGCAACTAGAATAGGTGATCAGATGGAAATTAAAGGTCTTTCAAAAGCATTCAATGAACTCACCCCCTCAACAAAAAGAAAAACACAATATTGTGCTATTTCTTCAATAAAAGGCAATATTGGACATTGTAATATTGCTTCCGGAATAACGGGTGTAATAAAAGCTGTTAAATGTTTGGAAAATCGTGTCATAGCTCCTATGGCACATGGACTTTTTGAAAAACCTAATCCATTAATCGATTTTCCTTCTACGCCATTTTTTGTTGCAACACAATTAACTAAATACGAAGATCCAAAACCCATGTATATTGGTGTAAGTTGCTTTGGTGTTGGTGGAACAAACGGACATTGCATTTTAGCAGAATATAAACAAGAAAAATTTGCTCAAGATGATTCCGCATTTAAGAATTCTAGAGTTATTTTACCCCTTACTGGAAAGAATTCTGACGCATTAAACAGAGTGAAAGAAAGCTTTATTAAACACTTTGAGAATGGTAACTTAACCTTACAAAATTTACATGACACAGCCAGAACACTCCAACTGGGAAGAACAGAGCATGGATTCCGTGGCATTGTGGTTGCATCATCAGTTTCTGAAGCGATATCTCAACTCAAATTAGCAAAAGCACCTGTACGTGCAAAAGCTACTAGGTGCAACGTTTTCGTAGCTCCTGGGCAAGGAAGTCATTCCATTTCAACACACAGACATCTTTACAACTCTTCACCTTTATATCAAAAGAGATTTAAAGATTGCTTGAAGATTTTACAAAACTATGACCCATCAGTACCGGATCTTTCATTATATCTTACAACAAATACTCATGAATCAACTTATGATCCTCTTTTGGTCTTCATATCAAGTTATATCTTGGCTGAAATTATTCAAACTTCGCTTAAGCTTCCAATTTCTGGTGCAGTTGGACATAGTCTTGGACAATATGTTGCAGCAACTATTGCCGGTGTATTCACATTAGAAATGGCCTTAGCAATTGTCCTTGAAAGAACAAAAGTCATGCACAAAATGGAAAAAGGATTAATGTTGGCAGCCAATTTAACTAGAGAAGAAGCATTAAAATTTGTCTCTAAAGGAAAAATATCTTTGGCAGCAAGTAATGAACCAGAACAACAAGTATTCTCTGGAAGACCAAAAGATATTGAAGAATTAGCCAACCTTTTGAAAGAACACAATTACAAATGTAAAGCTCTTAACGCTTCATATGGGTTCCATTCTCATCTTGCAGATTCGATTTTGGATGAATTTGAAAGTAAAATTACACCATTACTTGAAGAAGCAGCTTTAAGGAAAGATTCTATTACAGGCGTTCCTTTCATTTCAAATGCTACTGGACAATGGGCCGATATTGATGAAGTTTATACAGCAGAATTCTGGAGTGTACATTTAAGAGAAACTGTTCTATTCGAAGCTGGAATTTCGACCATTTGTTCATCATTCGTAAATCCAGCATTCATTGAAGTTGGAATTGGTGCTGTTACTAGTAGGTTAATTCAAAGAATGACTAATAATAAAGAAATTTCCGTAAAAGGGTTTGATTCGGAACAAACCTCGATTGAAGAAATAATCGGAAACTGTTGGGCTAATGGAGTAAAAATAAACTGGGTCAAATATTATGAATCCGTTGCTCCTGCAATGATAAACACTCAACTTATCAAATTACCATCATATCCATTCAAACGCAAGAGCTATTGGGTCGATCAATTCAAACAAGCTGGTCATAGATTTATGGTCCAAAATAATTACCAAGATCCAAATGAAGTATGTGAAGATGACGATGATGAAATTGATGAAAATGCCACAGATAAGAAGGATCTCACAATTGAAGACAGAGTTGTTAACTGCTTCAAGAAGGTTTTGGACCAAGAAGAAGTTTATCCTGATAATAGCTTCTATGAACTCGGTGGTGATTCTCTTTTAGGATTATCTCTTCTTGCATCATTAAAGAGGGAGTTTGGTATTCACCTATCAACCCCAAGTGTTATAGTAACTTATCCAACCCCCACTACTATGGCTAAATTTATTCAAGAAAATATGAATAATGAATCAGCTCAACCCACATTGGTAACTCTCAATCCTGGTGACAAAAATTTCAAGAACTCGATTTACGTAATACATCCAATTGGTGGATCCTGCGCCATTTACAAAGATATGGCATCATCATTCGGAAAGATGCCTGTTTATGGATTTGAATATCCAGGAATCGGTTCTTCAAACATGAAGTATCTTTCCGTTCAAGAGCTTGCTCAAGTTTATCTTAAAGAACTACTGAAGTCAAATCCAAATGGTCCTTACAATCTATTAGGATCTTCCTTTGGTGGTGCAGTTGCTTACGAAATGGCATGTGAACTAATAAAACAAGGAAAAACCGTAACCTCTCTGACAATGGTGGACTCTCCAAATAGCAAATATATGCCAAAATCTTTATCGAATGCCTCGGAAATTTTAGACTACATGTTCTCTGAAACATATGAACTTGATGGACTGATAGGTCTAGATGATGAAAAAGCATTACAAATGGTTGTTACAAAAGCCTCAAAATCAAGCTCGAAAGGTTCTGCAATATCAGCCGATATGTTGAAAACATTTGTTGATGTTGCCAAACTAAATTTAAGAGCATTAAAAGAATATGAATTGCCGATAGCTAAAAAACCAATGAACGCGTTATTCTTCAAAGCCATGATCAAGAGAGAAGATTATGATGCTACTTCACCAGAAAAAGCCTGGAAAGAAGTGGTTGACGGTTGTGGTGGACGATTCGAATGTATCGAATTAGAAGGAACTCACAATGGACTGAATCGATCGCCTATATGTGAAAAGATTTCACATCTTGTTAGACAACGATTATTCACTAGAAGAGTTTTCTAATTTTATTTCTTATTTTTTATTAATTTGTATTTCATTTAATAATTTTTGCACACATTTATCTTGGACTATTTTTTTTTATCTTGCACTTTTTTTTTTTTTTATCTTGGAATATTTTGACCATTTTTTTTTTATCTTAGGACTATTTTTTTTTATCTTGGACTATTTTTTTTTTATCTTGGACTATTTTTTTTTATCTTGGACTATTTTTTTTTTTATCTTGGACTATTTTTTTTTATCTTGGACTATTTTTTTTTTATCTTGGACTATTGAACCATTTTTTGTAATTAACTCTTTCTATTAAAATAAATAAAGTTTTTGAAGTTTAAAATTATTTAATAAAATAAAAATGAGTATTGTTTTTATGTGTAATTGGCCTTCAATTAAATCTATGTCGTCTTTTTTTTTTATTATAGCGTTGATTCTTTTCAGTTTTCTGTAAATTCAACATACAGTTGAAATGTAAGATAAAATAATTAAATTTAATGAGTTTCTTTTTATTTAAATTTTATAAATCCATAAAATTTAAATAATAGAAATTTTATAATTCATGTTGACAAGAGTCAACAGATCGAAAGACAGGGAGCATTGGTCAAGGGTCACATCAGACGTGCCTAATCCTGCCCGATCACAAACGACAAAGATCGTGCGGAGAACGTCAAATCATAAATTCATGAATCGCCACCAAATGACTAATATAAATAAATTCCACATGCTCTCTCTTATAAAAACTCAATTCATTTAACTTGCATTTCCCATCCGGCACGATCTCACTTTCTAATATTCCGGAGCATATCATCGTTTCAGTTAACATTACTTAATATTACCAATTCAATGTATTCTGCGGACTTAAAGTCCTTTAATTGAATTCATTTCCGGCACTTTTGGCTGTCCGGAATTCTTCCAATCACATGACCAAGCGCATCTATACTTTTCGGTTAATTAGATGCCAAAATATTTTTAAAATATTTTATCAACAAATATTTTTGTTTACATTATGATATATCGATATTATTAATAAACTTTAAATTTTATTAAACTTTTTTTTAATGACAAAATAATTGCGATTATCGCGCGATTATAAATGATTTTTAGTGACATAGATATGGCCGACAAATTTTATGAAAATAATATATACGACTTTACAAACACGCAATCGGACAACGATAAGGTATGAATGTGTACATCATTTGCAAATAGACAGTTGGTAGCTCTCCCACAAAAAATCCCCCCCCTCGTGATTTTTATGTAATGAAATCTTTAGGATTAGGGTTAGGTCACGTTAGGGGTGGATCTATTGATTTATGCGTTTGCAAACAGCAAGCAGTCCTGTGACTAATCCAACAATGATGCAATCCAATTTTCATAGAGACGATATATCTAAATTTTTGTGCTGAAGACTTTTATTTGATAACAAAAACTAGTTTTTATAACAAATTTATGAGTTTTTTTTTTTTGATTTCTTTTTTTGTTCTTACAATCGGATTGGGTAAAAATCACGGGACTCAAATTTTTGCGCCATCACTTTGCTAACCCGATAAATTCTTTTTTTTTTAACTATACCCTGAGGACGTTGCGTATAGTACCCGTTGTAACTCGATTTTTTTAAATAGTGAACATATATTTTACGTAATCATATAAATAATACTTTATCAAAATTATTTGTTACTGCATGCAGCACCCTACAGTTGCGCTAAACCAGAAATACTAGAAACGAAAATATCGTAGATCAAACTATTTATAGTCAACCTGTATAAAACTTGCATGTTAAACAAATTTGGAACTCTTATACTAATAAAATCGTTTCAGTAATGATGGTATTACTGAAATTACCGTAATTTTATGCAATTTCATCATTGTATATTACCGAAATTATCAAACGCTGATCGTCAATTTTTAGAGGGAACGTAGTACGAAGTACTAAGTTTTACGGTGAATAAACCGAAGGCAAAATCTTAAAGTTGATTGGATAATACATTTGCACAAATTACGGTTTTTCTCATAAACGTTTATACCTACAGTACGTACTAATTTTGGAGATTGGCTTCTTCATACGCCATAATTACATTCTAATTTTGGAGATCGGGACTAACCCAGATTTCTTTTGATGCTTTATGCAGTTAAATTACCTTTTTTTGATATGATCTATTCTCACAGTAAATATATTGCTCATTTTTGTATGCGGTTCTGATTCTATTTTGGTTTGGTTAACTTTCAACCGGGAAACGGTTTTACAAAAATTAAAGGCAGAATACTAAAACTGATTGGAGGGTAAAATTTTAAAGCTAATTGGATTATATGTTGGTGCTAATGCATATCCAATTACAAACATAGTGCAGGTGCATAGTGAAAACATTAATCAAATTTTTTGATAATTAGCAGTGGCGTAGTGATAACATAAATAGCAAAAACATATAAAATTTAAATCACAATAACTCTTGAACAAGCAAATCCACACAAATAAAATTATATTTGTCGGGTTCATTTTAGTGTACTCTTTAAAGTAGCAGCGCCTTTTTTTTTTTTTTTTTTTTATTGTTTGAAGCATAGCGGAGGACTCAGTTTTCATACAAATTGTCGTTTTTGATATATTTCTAATAAAATCATCAAAAACATCTATTGTCGATCACTATTGCATAAAGACATTTTTGATGTTTTTATTAAAAAAATATCAAAAACGACAATTTTGTATGAAAACTGAGTCCTCCGCTATGCTTCAGACAATAAAAATAAATAAAAAAAAGGCGCTGTTACTTTAAAGAGTACACTAAATGAACCCGACAAATATAATTTTATTTGTGTGGGTTTGCTTGTTCAAGAGTTATTGTAATATAAATTTATATGTTTTTACTATTTACGCTATCACTACGCCACTGCTAATTATACGTAAAAAAATTTGGTCACTGTGTTTGTAATTAGATATGCATTAGACACCCAACGGGATATGATACTTTCTTATGACATATGAGTCTTTGCCTTGAAAATCACCCTCCGACATTTATTATCGGGTTAATTCGGACAAAATTAAATCCGTATATTTGTTAACATTTATATTTGAATCTCTTTTTGATTAAACCATGAAGACAAAAAGGGGTTTACATATAAACATGAACTAATATACGGCTTTGTTTTTATCCGAATTAGCTCAATCGGAAATGTTGGAAGGTGATTTTCAAGGCAAATACCCCATATATTTACCAGTGTCACACCTGAACTTAACCTCTTAAGTAGTTCAAGGGACAGGACGTCGTGGTATACAAAACCACAACAAGGGTGGTATGGAAGGTAAATGGTAAAGTCTTTTACTAGGACTTTATAAAGAGGATTTATAAGGCTTTATTCGAAAGAGGCACAACTACTAAGATATATTGATGATAATGTTAACAATGGATGTTCAAGTCATGTGGTCACATGATAACACTTTAAAAGATTTTATTAAGAAAATAAGAAAATTTAATGTGTATGAAGACACAGCTACATTATCTAACCGATAAAGTAACTAATTAATACAAAGGAGGTAAGAAAATAACTATTTTTTATGTTGAGAATTCTAAGCTAAGAAAGTTCTATCTGAAAGTAAGAGAAAAGTAAGGGTCTTTTATACATGTTTTTATGGAAGTATCTATTTCTATTTCATTCTCTCATTGGTGTTTCTAATTTTATAACTAATACATCTTTATTTTATTCTTTACATCCAAGCGAACCACTTAATCAGTTTCACTTATATTTCAGCAACACATTGTATTCTGCACCTTTACCTTTGCATTGTTAAGCAGATCATGCACATTTATAGACATACATGACTGTGGCATCCAGGTACTATGGGAACCATGATTTCTATCATAACACTGGTTTGATTTTGATGACAGAAAATGTAATATAAAAAATATATGATATATTGGGCTAATATGTCATGATAATTAATTGGAAGATAGATTTTTGAATATATATAAATTGAAATATGTATGTAATTGTTAATTTATTTTATTATAAATAAAATTTTTTTTTTTTTTAATTCTTTGACAGTCTTGCCAGTGCTCAATTTATTTAAAACTATATTTAGGTGAGAGTTGAACTCTCTCGAACAATACAAATC